TTTGTTCTCTCATTATTACTCAATCAGATACGATACATTCTATCATCTAATCAACTTTGCTCAAATTGCGTTTTCTCAACCTTCAAGTCCATAGACATTCTTCACTAACATATTAAACTAAAACTTACTCCTCTTATTTTCATATTAAAAAAAGGGAAATATGACAACTGTTTGTTTTACCCATCTAAAGAAACTGATAGAAATCTGTGATAGATTTAATCAAATTAATGAGAAATATATGAAAGAAATCGGTGAACAATCACATTTTAAGTCATTCGAGAACATTACTCAACATAGATAAGAATCTATGAAAGGTTATGGATCTGAAAAAATTTGAGAAAGTTCAAGAAGAAGTCTCTAATCCACTTTAATTACAAACCCAAAGACTGTTTAAGTTTTTCTTTCAGGAGCATATAGGAAGCTGGTACATCTCTTCAATCGAACCGGTTTGTTAATAGATACACAACTGTTGAATGGTGTAGACTAGTAACCAATGAACTTTTTCCGAGCTCTAGTGCGGATATTAATGGGTAGACATGCATTAAAAACAAATTCAAATCATTTTCAAAGTTTAACTTCACTACTAAATAAAACTAATTGAATAATTTTATTTTGAGATAATATTCACTTCTACTTATCCTATTTTATTCAAAGACCTTCTCCTCACCTATCATTACGAATATAATTAGAATGAAGCAAAAAAGTCTCATCTGAGAAAATCTCGAAAACTTCTTTTCATAGAAATTTATTTATCTCAACGATTCTTTGAGATAACAAATTATCAAATAACATTTTTGGGGCCATCTTAGGATAATATCTGAAACTTTTGAGGGCTTCTTGGAAAGTCTCATCAATCACATTTGATGAGGTTACCGCGGAATGACATATCGAACTTATCAAAGACGATCTACTGATCATCCAGGTGAACATGATATATTGAGTATTCTGTAAAGGGACGAAACTGAAGGCTTTATGTTTGTGGAAGTTTTATTAAGTATTCCGAATCGAGATGAAGAATTATAAATTATTGTGGTATAAACATCCCATTGCCCTAAAAATTATATAAAATATATATATATGGGTAGAGTAGATCAATTAGAGTTATTTTCACATAATACTTCTATGCTATTGAGTGCATTGGACAATTATATTTTGTGAAAGTTGAAGAGTTTTCGATACTCTGAGAGTTGTATCAAACCTGAAATGTATGTATATCTATATACCACTTGATGATATCAATAATTGAATTCAACTTTCAGATTTGGCATCTATGTGTGAATAAATTTGCCATTCAGTTGGATTATTTACTTGAGATTTGAGTGTTTAAAAACGCATTATATACGATAAAGTGAGCGTTAACCTGTTTAGTGATTGAATTTCCATTAGAAATAATTGATAGTGTAGTTAATAGTTTTCTGTCACAAGACTGAATGAAAAGTTTAGTTGGAATTAGTCGAAACTACATAGAAGAATGTCGTAGATATAATCAATGATAATTATTTATAGGGTGTAGCATATTTTGTTTAAAGAGAAAATTGAACTAAAGACATAAAATAAAGAAATTCTCTACGATACTCTAGAGCGTAGTATTTAACAGTTTTTAAAAAGAATTTCTATCCGATTCGGTCACTAAATTATTTTCGGTTTAAATGAAAATATCTTTTTAAAAGAATAATTTTTGAAAATTTTCATCAACTATTTATTTAATTAATCACTGCTAATCATAGATAAATCAATAGATTTTTATTTCTCTCATTCTTATTGACTAAAACAAACGAGTCAATAAGGAATTTTCTGGATATTCTTCATATGAAAAAATGATTAATTATCATTTTTTTCTTTGCTAAGGATGCAAATTGGAGAGATGAACTGTGAAATCAATGGTCTTGATTTTGACTCATCTCGAACCATAATACGAACATCTCTTGAAAAATATTTTCAAAACGTTTTATCAAAATCAATATGAATTTTGATCAACATGCAAAAAAGTAAATAATATACTGAGTTACAAAAAACAAAAAAACGAATAATAATTTCAACTTATTTAAATATCTAATAGATCAAATGTAGCACGATATTAGTATTAACTTTCACTTCTATAAAGATATCCGTCAATCCGTTTGAGAGAGTCGCCAGTTATAACAAGTTCTCTCTTTCCGAAAAATAAATCTTCTTATCTTCGTTTTTTAATCCGACTACTCTCTGCATGGAGAGAAGGAAAGGCTACTCTTATACAATTGGTAGTTACTTGTTTCGAAGAGAAATATTATCTTATTGGTCACACTAATTATTCAGGTGAGACTCTTTCATGTCTTATCATTGAATCTATTCTCGGTTATCAATCATTTACAAATATAAAAAGTGTTAAAAAAGAAAAATATTTTGTTTATAACGCTAAAAAAAATAAAAGCGAGAGTTTGTCTAACTAATTCTTATACGAATCTGTTTAGATTTTTATCTTCTAGGTTTAAACATTTTATATCCAGTTGATAAAAGGATCATCACACAGTGTGAAGAATTTTTTGATTTATTCTATTTTATATATGATCAACTACATCGAAATATTCAGGAAAGTTTTTTCACATTTACTCAACTAACATTAAATCAATTATCAACCAAAGATAAAATAGGCGAACTCTTCTTTGAAAAACTTCATGTTGAACTTAAGATTGACCAAAACTGACTTGGACAAGAGGATAGAAATCTTTGTGTTTTAGATTTCTGTTTTTACCTAATCAATTTAATTTCTTCTCGGAGATCTTGATATGACAACTGGGTTGATATTATAATTTGCCCATGCTCTGCCACATATAGTTTCAACTCATAAAGGTTATCGATCTCTTGGTTTAAATCTAATCAATATTTAATATTTTTAGGGTGTCTATGCTCTTTTTTATTTCAAACTGAATTTTCGAAAAAAAGACGCTCGACTTTTCTTGGCTACAAGGATTTACAGATTCTACCAAAATGAGCCTCATTATCGACAGAATAAGGGAAGAGAGAGAGTCTTTACAAAAAAAACTATATAATGTACTTCAAGAATCCTAGATCAACGACTCCACCATACATCTTAGAGAGACTTTCGAGTAAGCTATTAATACTCAATCAGACATTGAAACTATTCATCCATCTATTTTTAAGACACATATTTCGATAGATCATGACACTTAAAGAGTGATCCGTAAGTGTTGAGTTCTCTCAGGAAAATTCCTCTTTCTCCCTTATGACAAATCGAAAAAAACTCAAACTTTTATATATAATTCGTTGTTTTACGATACACACAATTCAAATATTCAGTAAACATATTTATTTGTGTGTATTTTTTATATATGCTTCGATAGAGTACGAACAGATAATTATGAAAAATTCATTTTTAGCTGTTGAAAAAACCATCCTACATCCGAAAAAAGAATTCAAAGAGAAAATTTGGCATATTTTGAAAAATGATGCTTTTTACGGACAAAAAAATGGTTCTCTTCAAATTTTTCGACTTTCTCGATCTAAAACGCTTTTTGAAAAGGTATAAGTCAATTTTTGATAATCACCTGCTCGTGCTCTATCGAAACACATATGAAAAATACACACAAATAAAAATGTTTATTGAAAGTTGGAATTGTATCTATCGTAAAACAACGAATTATATATAAAAGTTTGAGCTTTTTTCGATTTGTGATAATAAAGAAAGAGAAATTTTCCTGAGAGGACTTAAGATTTGTGAGTTAACCTTTAACTTTCTTTCAATTTTAATGAAAAAAAATCGAGTCAAAAGTGATTGATTTATTTATTGAATATTTCGAAATAAAAATGATTGATAAAAAACCTAGTATGAATATAGTGAGAGAATCTAAATGTGTCATTTGAGTATTAGATATCGATTTTGTCGATGACATTGTTAATTGTCATATTCAATAGAATATATATTAAAAAAAAAGCAACTGTGTACTCAAAGATATTTAATTCTCATTCGAAACGATATATCACCTTTATTATAAATGAAGAAAAACTGTTTGGATATATAATTCTAATTGATCATTTATTTAATAATCATCTAAAAGTAAAATTTATTGATAAAACAATTTTATTATTGAAATCATTTTATTTCGAAATATTTCTTGTTGAAATAAAATATTGTTGATATATTATTGAATCAATCAATAAAATAAAAATATTTTTTCTTAAATTTAATCAATTGATTTCTATCAATAGTTTATTGATCAATTTTGGTTATCTTAGAATATTTTCAATATATTATTTATTATTATTTTAATTCATTTCATTTCTCAATATTAAATTGTTTATCTGTTAGATTTATTTGTTTATTGTTATGTAATTGAACAGATTTTCATTCTGATAAAACATCTTCGAAAATATGAAAACAAATTATTGTTAAATCTAGAAAAAAGAATAAATTTTTATTGATTTTTTTCTGAATTATTTTAAATTTCTCTATTTTATAAATAAAAAATAGTTTTCTATAATAGAATAGATTATTTAATTGATTTTCCTAATTGATAAAAATCTTTAAATGAATATATTATGAAAATAATTGAAATTTTTAAATAAAAATAAATCGAAAATGAATTATTATTTGAATAGATTTTATTATTATTATTATTATATAAAATGAAATAAATTTATAGATTAAATTCATATATTAGTTTTGGAAGATTTTAAAAACAAATAAAATATAATGTTTTCAGTTAAATAAATAATTATTTTTCAATTTATTCAGATGAAAAACAAATTAAAGAGAATAAACAAATAGAAAGGATATTAACTATTGAAAATGAATCTTGTTATTTTATTATTATTTTTCTCATTTAAATATTCGAAAAAAAACTCTTCTACAATCAAATGAAATATAATATTAAGAAAAAGATTTTTCTTCAGAACAATTCAAATAAATAATTCGATTAAATAAAATATTTATTCAAGAACTTATTAATATAAATCTTATTTAAAAAAACAAAACAAAATTAATAAAATGATCTTATCAAATGTTAAGATATAACACAACATTTTAATTTTATTTTTCGAATTTTTCTTCGATGATGATGATGATCATGATCATGGATTTTAATTGAAGAAGATTTCGAAAGAATTTTATTTGAATTAAATTTATAAAGATCAGATCTTTCAGGTAGAATTAATATTGGTTTATCGTATCGGTTTGGTATTGTTGGTGGAGGTAAAATCGAGGGAGGAGCATCATATCCTTGGATAAGTGAAATTTCAATCGGTTTATCATTATATATCGAAGAATGTTTATTGTATCTATGAGGAGGTTGAGATGATTCGTAAGGAGCTGAACCAGTTGAAACTTCAATTAAACGAAATGGTAAATCTTCAGGTTGAATAAAATATTTATCATTTTCCATTAGTTTTCTTAGAAAAAAATAAAACAAGAAAGAAAAAATTTTGTTTCGTTTGTTAAATAGAAAATGAAATAGTAACACGTATTCGTTGATAAGAATCTCTAACGTTTTTTTCTCGATTCTTTTTTCATCGGGGACCTTCTCCTCATTTTAATATAAATATCTTTTTTATTCTTTCCTTTATCTTTCTTCTCATCAAATGATTTTTATTGATGTTTTTTTTCGATTATTTATATTCGTATATTTATATATTTATCATTTCGAAAAAGAAAAAAAAATATTCACGAAAAAATTCTTCTTAGTTTTGTTGAATATAAAAAATAAAAGTGATTATATTCAATCTGATCAAACAACAAAAAAGATCTTAATCGGCTTTTTTTTCACCAATCTTTTTCTCATATGTTCATCATTTCGATATCTAGAAATTAAATTGCAAATACGTTTGTTTTTTCTGATCATAAAACTTTTCCTGAGAATCGATTTTATTTCTCTAGGAAAATTCAATTATTTATCTAAAAAACTCGTTCTTCATATTAGTCTTAACTGTTTAAAAGCTTGTTAAGACAGTCCCATTTAGGGTAAAATATGAGAATGACATCCTTTCTCTAGTTTGATTATCGTTTTTTTATTTCTACCTTTCGAAGACAATCTTTTCTTTTATTTATTTTCTCTCAACCTTCTATTTTTCGTGTTTTATTATTGCTATTTGCTTGTTTGTTTTCATAAATATATTTATTTTATTCTCAATTAAAGATTGTTATTATAATGAAGATAGTATAAAATGTAAAATAAGGTTGTTAGATATATCTATTATTTTATTTCTCACTTCTACAACTAATTCTATTTGTTGTTATCTTACTTAAATAGATATTCTTATATTAACAATCGTCCAGTTAAAACTGTTGACAATTTAATCTATCAATAAAAATGGTAAAATTTTTCTCAGTATATTCTGTAGGTTCTATCTATTGATGAAAATGATCTTTATCATTCTTATATATATATAAAATAAATCTATTAGAATAATAATTGATCGAATAGTACATTCAAACAATATAATGGTGATTTGTAACTAACAATCGATGATAAGATAGAAGATAAATTTCACTAATTTAGTGTGTTTTATCCGAATTGTTCAATCTTTCACCATATTGACTTTATTCAATATGTCTGAGCATTAATTTTATTCTGAATTTTGAATATGAAAATTGTAGTTGAATATATCGAGGTCGTCGATAAGATTAAAATGGTTAACTGAGATAATCTATCTATTGAAAAGTCTATTAAAAAAGAGTATGAGTTTACATCAGTTGATAATAATTTGACGATCGATTTAATAAAATAATTCTTTTTCATAGTGATGTATCTGAGTTAATGTAATAGATGAACGTCTTTCGGTGATTGATAATCAGGTTTTATATCGTATAATGTCTTCAATATATGTTCAATCTTATTCAATTGACTGATATTAATAATTAATCGATCTTATTGATATCTCCATGTTTTTTTATCAATCGATTTGTGTATCTAATTGATAATTTGTTATAACTATTGATCATTATTATTCTATAAATGAATATCATTCTGAATTTGTTTATGATAAAGATCTAAGTATGAATAAAGATAGGAATATCGGAGTAACATCTACGTCTAATATTGATTTTATTTCTATTAGAATTTTTTCACGGTGGCAAAGTATAAGAAATAAATATCGTAACATATCTAGATCTATTATAGATATTTCTAATTTATTTTTCGAAGGTGAGAATATATATTCAATAAGATTTCAGAGATTTTTTTAAAAAGTTTTTAAAAACAAAAAAGGTTATCACATTTATTTATAGATTTATCTGAAAAGATCTTAAAAGACTAGTTTTTATCCTAATAATAAGGTAAAAAATCAAGGAATTTATTTTGAAAGATTTCATTGAATATTTAAATATTTTCTTTGAATATAAGTTGAAATAAATAGACTAATAAATTCTTGTTTTCTTCTATTTAATTAATAAATAAGATAAACGATCGAATCATCTAAAATATAATGGTAAATTTAAAAAAGTGATTCGATTGAAAATAATAAATATTTCTATCACCTTATAGAATTATCTTTTAATGGTGATCATAATCGAAATTATATTCATTTTACTATCAAACAAATTTCATTGAATAACTATCAGGTTATTTTTGTTAACATATTGTATTTTAGTTCACTCTTATTATTAATATTTGACTGTTGATATCTGTTCAATCCTTGTTATTATAGGGCGTGTTGGAAAACAACTTAAAAACAAAGGAAAACGACGAACTAGAAGACACAAAACTATAGTAAACATTGAAGGTACCTATTTAAATCGTTGACGATAGTGAATAAGATTTTTTTTTCGAAAGGTTTAATAGATTTTTGTTTTTTAAATAATAGGTTTAGTCAGTAAATGTCTATCTGATTTGGTTGATTGAGGTAATCTTCTATAGGAAGGTGTTTAAAATAACTTCTCTCTCTATCAGTTTAGAAAAATTTTCAATATAAATCATATATTTTTTCTAGAGTTATTGATAAAACTCCTTCTACACATATTCGAATGAAGATAAACGTCAATTATTTCTAGTTAAACTTTCTTAAGATAATTTCCTGCCATCGGATAACTAGATAAATGAACATTTGTTCAATTCTTTTGTTTTTTTTTTCTCTTTTCTGATATATTTTTACTCTATCACCTTTCCATTGTAGAGTAGGTTGCAGATCACTATTGGATATAATAATTAGAATCGATTATTTACCATTACCTTCAAACGTAAGAGTCACTCCTTTTGTTTCAAACATCAATTTATATTTCGAATATAATTTCCTTTCGACTGGTAAACAAAGTATCAATGTTGCAATCATTTTTCAGAAAAAACTAACCGACCTTTTTTCGAAGATAACTCGAAATGGTTATTCCTAGTTTCGATAGATATAAGATTTATTCTCTTATTTTTATCCAAACTATAGATTCATCGTTGACACAGATCTTTTTTTCCAGTTATTTTATCTTTTATTCGAGTTCTCTAACAAATTAGTCTATCTAAACCTAATTTGTAGAGTGCACAATAGACAAGCACAACTCTATCCCAAGGAAAAATCTCGAATAGAAAAATGGTTGAACATAAAAAAAGCAAGGAAACTACAGTTTGATCGAGAGAGGAAACCGAATAAATCTTGATTTTTGACATAAAAAAATAAAGAAGATGTTCGAGTTGATCATTCTTTTACTGATGATTTTTTTCGCTTTTGTGAAAGACATAGAGTAGAAATTTGGACTCATTCTTCGGTCTTCTGCAGATAGTGACAAAGATTTTAATTAATTAATTAAATAATTGAGCAATGGTGATAGTTATCAAGTTCGGATTTTCACCGTTAGAAAGAGGATACCCGAGGATACCCGAGGATAGAAGTTTACCTCAGAATGAAAATACTTTAAAAGCTTTAAAGAGAATTTCAGGAAGTTTATAGAAAAGCATTGTCTGCTTTGTTTGATAATATAACTTTATTTTCAATTTTAATTTAGTTATATTCTATGGCAATGTCACCTCTATAAACTCGGAAATTTTCAGGTGTTTTCGACCCTTTCCTAGGTATTTACTGAATAATGAAATAACAGAATTTCGATTTGAAAATTAGCCGATAGAATATTCCTGTAAGTTCTAGTGAAAAAGAAAAGTCTCTTATCAATATATTCGATTTAAAAGTATTTTTATTCTCAAATTGAGTTCGACCTCCACTCATCTTCTATCTAATAGAGAAAATCCGAGATCGAGAACTATGTATGTTCTCGAGTATTCAAAAATCAATCGAGTCGATTGTATTTTGAACTAGACAATTGTTTATTATTATTTTTACAACGAGAGAAAATTGATAAAAAGAGTATCAACTTATTCTCTCTATTGATAATTATAGGACTCTTAGATTAAATTAATTAAAAACAGGAAATTGTTAACAAAAAAAACGAAATTATTCTTCTCTGGTTTAAAAAACAGAAGCATTGCGCATACTAACTTCTCTTAGAATTGTTTACCTTTATCCTAGAGCAGGATAAGGTATAGACCAATTTAGAGATAAATAGTTCTTCCAAAGATATAAATTTATTTACCTATAGATTTTTTATTTTCTAAGATAAACGATTCGATTTTCTCTTGAGAATTTATTCAAACTCTTTTATTATAAAGTTCTTATGATTGAGAATTAATTTTAGATTTTATATATATTATCAATATAGAACATATAGAAAAAAAAAAAGAAAAACAAACATATTTTATCGTCTTGCAACAATAGAAATACAATATTAGTAAAGCCTCCGAGACATGAGAATATTTTCTAGTTCTTCTCTGATATGAAGACTTTTTCTTTCTAGAAATATAAATTTATTAACTTCGGTTTAAATTCTTTTCTGCTTTTTATTATATTGAAGAGAGTCTTTTCTTGAATTATATTATATATAATTAATATATATCTATGTTTAGATCATATGAAAAACAATCTACCCTTATAACAGCATTAATTAATAAAAACTAATCACCAAATTAGTTATTTGTGAAAAGAGCATCAATAAATAATATTATTTAATCTAATATTAATTATCCGTAAAATCAAAGATAAAATAGTTAAATTAAGAAAAAAAAGGAAATAATAAGATCAATATTATCAATGATTAGTGTCTATAGATATATTCATCTACGAGTTAGTTATGTTTAAAATAGTATCAGACTATTGAGATAAATAAAATATATTCGATCTTCAATTTTCTTCTCGAGATAAATGTGAGAAGGTCCAGATGGTCAATGATTAAAATAGATTTTATTGAGAATAAGTTGACAATATTATTTTAATATGATTTATTCTTAGAAAATTCAAGATAATAGTTCATATTAATATATATTGATTTTATCAATTATTTATTTAAATGTTAACTAGTTTATTCAACATAAATAAAAAAAAAGTTACTTTTTTTTTTAGATTTTTCTTAATG